GAAACAAAAGTGTCAGAGACCAGGAAACAAAAAATTAAAAAATTGAAAAAAAAGCAATAAAAGACATGAAAATTGCCTTTCTCAAGAATCTCAAAAATATGAATCTAATTTTAAAATGCAGCTAATGTTTAACAAAGTAACACTCCCAGGAAATTCAGAACACAGCAGAGTATAGAGGAAGCTGGCAAACGAAATAAACACTGTTTCAAGTATGGCTCCATGCTTTTTGAATTCAATGTTGAAATTCAAAACTGTGGAACTAGAAACAGCGATTCAAGAGTACCGAGATGACAAAATTCAAACAATAAATGCTTTCTAGTCTTACCAGATAGTTTTCTAAGTCTATAAACAAAACTAAATAATAAATAATCGATCTACCCTGTTTTCTATGAACCCACATTTCCATGAACCCACATTTCCTACGTTCCCAATCTAAATGACTACTGTATTCTATAAATTCAGGTAAGACAACTACTTTTTCTCAGTGTAAAAGCCTTTAATATTAATCAAATTCCAAAACCTAAAAACAAATCACATCATCAGAATATTTAGCAGTGAATTGTCTGGAATACATTCATCCACTAACAGATCATGAGGTATATTTTTATTCCATTCTAGATGACATCTTCAACTTTGTCTAAAATCATTGCTTCTCATCCAGGAAGAAAGAGGTGAAAAGGTGGTAAGGGCAACTCCCTCTTCATTTGTTTTTATTTTATTATTCATCAAAACGTGGAGAAAAACAAGGACATTGACCACTCGTTCAGTGAAGTGATCAAAGGTTTATCTTCAGTGTTTTCAGTGTTTGTATTGCTCTCTTTACAGCTTTTCTTCCTGAATTCTGAGGAACTAGGGTTTTTTGTTGTTGTTGTTACCAGGGAAAAACCCATCTGAAACACATTTCTAAATGAAATCTGAAAAGACCATTTTTACTAGTGTTTCTAGTTATTTGTGTTTCTAGACCTCCAGTAAAAACAATACTGAAGTTTTCAGGAGCAAAACCAAAAAAGTCTGGAAAAAGTCACGTTAGGCATGTCAGAATCTGAAGTCATAGAATCATAAAACCCTTACAGTTGGAAGGGATCATTGAAGGCTATCTAGTCCAACTCCCCTGCAATGAACAGAGACAGCACAGCTAGATCAGGTTGCCCAAGGCCTTATCCAGCCTTGTCTTGAAAGACTTCAGGGATAGGGTATCAACCACACCACCAGGCAGCTAGCTGTTCAGTGCCTCATCACCCTTATCGTAAAAGATATTTTCCTTATATCTAACCTAAATCTATCATGTCTGAGCTTAAAACTATTTCCCCTTGTTTTATCACCACAGACCCTGCTGAAGAGTCTGTCCCCTTCTTTCCTGTAGCTCCACTTTGGATACTGAAAGTTTGCAAGTCATAACTTGCAAAACTGAATTTTACATTCATTGTTTTCTAAAGCTCTTTTTAATTTCACAGAAGTGTTCATGGAAGGAGCTGAGTTTATTTGTAAATGAGGATTTAGATTTACAAAACACACTTTCCTGTCAATGCAAGAAGGGAACTAACTTGTTGCTTTCTGTTGGGATACAGGGTTTAGGAATGTGCTATTGAAAGCTAAGTCTATACAGGAGAAAGATACACATTTCTTCTGGTGTACAACAGTATTTGCCTTTCCAGTTGCAAAGTCCCATTAGAAGATTCTTCCACCTGGAATCTGATGCAGTTTCCCACTTGCACACTCAGATTGCATTTACTTTCCCAAATATCAAACCGCTTCATTGTTTTGCTTTGCCTACTTCTACTTTTATATTTGCTGCCTACAGGTTATTTTAGAGGTTGCAGATTTCAGATCAGTAAATGTTAGTATATTGAGAATAAGCCATTTCTACACAATCAGTTTAGACAGGATAATAAACCAAGGACCAAAAAAAAAAACAAAAAAACAAACCCACAACAACAAACAGCAGGCCCCTTTAAACACTTATCTCTGGCACTGGATTTTGAGTATTATCAAAAATTGATGGGGATTTTGTCTGTGACATGCTTTCAAACATACTTCCTGTAGAACTATGAAGTATAGCTACTTCTTATGAGACCTGTTAAAAACTCACACCTTGTACATCACACACAAGGCTTTAGAAAGATTTCTCTATTCAAGATAGAAACGTGAGGTTACCATTTTTAGTTGGAAATTCTTTTTGCACGCTTCAAGCCAGGGGGCTCCTTGGGTTAATATTAATGAGATCATGTTCATCTCTACCAAATAAATACTAAACAGAGTAATTGCTTAATGTATTAATAGCAACCAAATATTTAACTGTGCATTCTTATTTTTTAAATTTCAAACCTGACAGCCTCTAAGTGTTGAACTAAATGAGACTAAATGAGAATAAGAATACTCTGACATTCCTTGAAGAATTCAAGCTGACAAAGACTACCTGCTTGCATTATAAAGATACATGCAGACAGAGCCTAGAAATGCAAAGAGCAGCTCCCCAGCTGGAGCAAATACCAGATTTAAAGTATTGCACTGTTAGAGCAAGCGGCTTAAGTCCTAAAATTAAAGTATGTTGCATCAGTAATGACTATTCAGAGGACAAACAACTGTGATTCTCTACTTCTTTCAAATAACTCGTATCTAGGCAATGACGCTTCAAATATTACAGCAGAGGTTTGGAATTTTTTCCACTGATCCATGATTTTAAGACCTTACCACTTTATCTTTTCCTCTTCAATGGCAAAATAAGAATAATATTACTTATAGCCTTCCTGACCTGAAGTACTCTACATCAGCAGAAAACATTATTTTTAGAATCTCCTTCAACTGAGATTTAAGTGTCACCAGTCAAAGTCCTCATAGAAAATTTTAAAAGAAAAGAAAAATTCCCTCCTTCTCCAGGACAGTACAATTAAAATGGTCTTGTAGCCCAGCACTTCATGATCCACACAAATTAGTTAGAGGATCTGAAAACACTACATCATCACAGACAAATAGCTAGTGAGGTCAGGTCACTTGCATCTCTATACCTAAGCAGAACTACCACTGTATCATTACAGAGTAAGTACCCTTTCTTTCAATGGCTTTCCCTTTCTTGGCAGTTTGTACATTGTTACTTTTAGAAGATAACAAGTGAGCTTAAAATGTAAACCAGTTAAGAACATCTGTATCTCAAAGTCCCAAATTGCACGAAAACTCTAAAACACGCTTCTACGGAGACAGGTCCAATGCAGCTCCTGGGATCTTTTCCAATTGTTAAAACGTGTCTAGAACGCACTAAGGACAGGCTCATAGCCTACAGCACTTCTGTGCTTCCCTTCATGATTTCATTCAAGCCTAAAGACAATGAGTATTTGCTTTCAGTAGGACAAAGCTGGAAGTTTTCTTAGCTGGCAAAATACAATGTTTGAGAAAAAATAATGACAATAAAAGTATCTTCAAAGCATCTGTTTAGCATTTCCCCTATTAACCCTAGAAGTAATTACTTTGAGGTCAAGCACAGAAATTCCTAGTAGTATTAGCTCAGATAAAAAAATCCTGTAGGTCAGTCATAAACCATCTTAAAAGAAAGTAAAAATCTGCTTTTCATGACACTTACTCAGGGAAAAAAGAAAAAAAGAAAAAAAAAAGAATGAAGAAGCTGTGTATTCAAAAGCATATGCTATATATTTTTTTCTTTATATAGTTCCAGTGATTTCTTCTCCTGGGCATCAATTGCACCAAGAATTTTACTAATCACAGCTATCACCAGCACAACTGTCAGCAAATAATATAAGCGAAGCTTATCCCATTTTGGAACAAGGATGCATTTTGTTATCAGTCTGAACAGCTACTGTGCCTCACTGAATTAATGGATCTTCTAAGTGCATTTACAGAGGACAGAAAGCCAGTAACAGCTGTAATTAGGACAAATTCACAGTATCCAAGTTCAGCTGAATAATACCAACTTTTTCTCCCTTCTCATATAAAAATTTTAAATGCTTAATGAGGTGCCATCAGCCATTTTTTTTTTTTCCATCTCCAGATATATGTTAAAAAAATATCTCTATAATCTCTATTCATACAAACCTTTTGGACTTATACACTATCCTTTATATAGCCTCCTTTTATCTGGTGAGTTTTGATCAGTAGTTTCATTCAAGCCCTCAACCATTACATCAAGGTTCTACCTTGAAGCACAAGAATTTACAACACAGATTTAAAAAAAAAAAAAACAAAACATTTTCCTGACGTCAACCTTTCATAACAGCAGCAGTGTAATGGAAACTAAGTGCTGCACATGGAAATTCAGACTAAAGTCACCAAAATACATGCTCACTTTCACAAGAAGTTCTATTGTACTTTCAGCTTCTAAGAGAAGAAAATCTGTGTATGAGTAGATGCTGAAATTTAAAAAAAAAAAAAAAAAAGGCAAAAAGGAGATGATTTCCAGTGAAGTTTGAGAAGGCACATAAGCAGAAAAACAGTCAGCAAGTCAACCCAGTAAAGACTGCTCAGGAAGAACGTTCTTAGAAGAACATCTATCATGTATCCAGTATTACCAAATTCTTAAGCTGGCAAACATAGGGTTTATCCTAACAGCCAAAAGAGATAAGATTAAAAACCAAATGCATCAAGAAAGAATATGACACAGATGTGAAGACAGCGTCAAGAAACACCCCTGATTGAGTCACAAGCATCAGAACATTAGAAGTGAGTCTCCAAACAGACGATTCCATAAAATTTATGTATTTTCTTGGAATCTGCTCTTTAGTACGTGTTCTCTGTAAGATCATGTTTATAAAACAGGTCAATTGTGCATCAGTCGGGAATTCATATACTCCTCACATAAAGTTCTCCTTGAAAGACAACTGAAGAGATTACCACACTAAAAAGTGATTTGTTAGTTTTGAATGCTAGAATGTTAGTTTTGAATCTTGATATCCAAAATTCTCGTGACAGATTTTTGATGGAATTTCTATCCTCCTTTTCTTTATAGACTGAATCCCTCCCCCAAGTTCAGAACAGGCTTTTTGATTGCTTACATTTCCTTTGTTTTATTTGAATCTCATTTGATCTGTAGCTTGAGAAGAGAGAAGAAAAAAGCACTTTCTCAATGGTCTGTAAGCGTTCTCTTTACTCTTGACAAAAAGAACTTCGCTAGTCTGCCCGGTTTCTTTCTTCACCCTAAAGAAAGAAAAATTGAAGTTATGTCACCTTCATTCAAAAACCACGTACACGTTTTTCAGTATTGATAAAGTTAGTCCAATGAAACTGAGTATCAAACTAATTTTTAATGGCAAATTTTAAAAATAGTGAAGAAGAGTATAGGTAATGTACAAACAAATGACAAACAACAACAAACAGCATTATATAGCAGGACAAAGTGAAAGTTATGATCAATTTTTTTCTGACTTCATACAAAACTTCTCCACCCGGATGCATCAGTTGCCAGCACAGACTGTAAAGAACTCTACCAGGCAGCACAACCTTCTCCTTAACAGTCTGTTAAATTCTATTTGGAAACATTACTCCAGTTCTGGAAAAGCAACCAAATATTCTGCAGAGTTTCTCCAAAAAGCACTCACCCTAAGACAGTATTCAGTTAGAAGAAAGTAACATGTGTTAGGGAAACTTTCTTGAACTTAACATTTTAACAGGCACAGAGAAGAGGAGGAAGAGTCTGAAAGCGCCATTAATGGAAGACTCCAATCTCTATCTACGTACATTTCTAAAAGGTGACTGTAAAGTTTAAACGGAACAAATGCCACACCACCACTCAGGCGACCAATACACCAACCCTAAATCCCCACAGAGCTCTCATATTTACACTTCAAGGACAACACTTTGTGACCATGTTGTAGAAAACTCATTCGACCATATACAACGCACGCAGTAAAACCACATTCTTGCAATACTTTTAGTTTCTCAGCTCTTATCAATGAAGTTTGCAGCCACCTACCACAGAGCCTAACAGTGTCAGAAAAGTCTGAAAAACGTGACCAGCTATTCCGTAGTGCCCACGCAATGATGCTCCCAGATGACACTGAGCAGACTGGCACCAAGGGCCCAGCTTGGCAGGGTACTCCCAGCTGTCATCCTGCACAAAATGCTGCAAAGTTGGATCAACCTCAGCAGTTACACAGAACTGTTTATGGAAATGAAGACAGTCACAGAATTACAGATCTGACACTGAATGTGCGAGGCTTTCATTCTCCTAATCATGTCTAAAGTAACTTGGTGAGACCAAGATGATAACATTTATTTAGAAATGCCACAGATTTTCAGAGCTATTAAATAGGTCCTTTTTGATCTTCATCACATGTTTCAGTTCACCTTTGCTCCTCAGGAAGTAAAAAGGTAGGGCTACACTTCTAATAGAGCAGACCACAATCCTACTAAGAGTAATGAGTGGCTGCAGACTGTAGACAAAAAATGCACTGACCAATGGAAGCCCAATCTGTCTAATTCTAGAAAGAGAACTGGAAAAAACAGCCCAACACTAAGATGTACAGAAACAAATCATTACTCATATAAAAAGGAGATCTGCATCTGTACAATACTTTCCCCAATAAATAGTGTATTAATTCCCAATTATTCCCATAATTCCCATATTGCCAGTAGATGTCATGAATTTCAATACTAAATTTCAATACAGTAACTCACAAAGTTACCAGTTTCAAAGCTCTTTTAAACTCCTATGCAGAATTTAGACATGGATTATGATTAACCTCATCACTGTACACACCATGTACACTTTCCATGTATATGTCCAGCTATAAACCTTAATTTAGTGTAGAGAGTTTTAAGCTCTCAGCCTTTCCTGTCTTCCTACACACAACTCCTTGCAATTCACAAAGTAATTAAGGGTCTCCACATTTTCATTCTTACTGAATGAGTTCAGTAAGAAAGCTCCACATCTAAGTTGCAGCATTATGATGGTGCTATATCCTTAAATCTCTGACATGAAAAAACATCCAGAGACAGGAATAAGACAGAGAAAGGATTGGTTTTCAGCTCTTACGATAAACATAAAAGACCAAACATTCCAAGAACATTGTTCTTGAAAAGAAATTTCCATTGCTATACTGAAAAATCAAATTAAAACTGACAAAATAAAAATAATATTTTAATTCATATATAGTACAAAAACTTTTTGTCAACTTGAGTACACTAGATGATCCACAAACTTTATTACAATGAATTTCCATGTGTTGCAAGCAATTAAAAAGATAATCAAAACTTCTGCTCTCCAACAGAATGCAGTTATTGTTTCATGCTACATCATGCACAAATTACTTCCATTATCCTTTAAATGTCAGGCAACAAAAGTATCTTACCTTACTCTCCACTGTCTGTGCACAAAGGATTAAATACAAAGTATTAGGCAGAAACTGCAAGTATTTCATATAAAAGAACAAACTAACCACTGCATCACTAAACTTATTGGCTTTCTGGCATGAGGTGCAAACACTAGGGACACTTAATGAAGACTGAACCATGCCCTCTTCCACAAGCAGCCACATCTCTGAATCAGGAACTGAAAAGCATCCATTCATTACCTTCTGCGCCCAAATGCAGATCTCAGTAAAAGCAGTCACCACAACCTGATTTTCCCTCCTAGTAATCCTTGCCAATTACTGCACTGCAGTCTTCCCGGTGGCTACACAAAATGCAGGTAGGGAAGGACTGAAGGTGTCCAGAAAAGAAGCAAAAATGTACAGTAGAGTTTGTTTCAATAATCTCCTGCCACATCAGATGTGGGTTTAAGGAAATGAACTGCAGTTTGGTAGGATCTCTAGGATTTTTTCTACTGTTCTTTTTGTACTCTAGCATCTTCATCTATTTTCCATTCATAGGATTTTTTTGTTTGTTTGTTTTTGTTGTTGTTGTTGTTTTGCTGAACATCAACCTTCAGCAGCCCTTCAGCACCCTGTACCTCACTTCCAGACCTCCTTCTGCAGCCCCAGGAGAAGGTGCAAGAGCTAATATTCAGAACACATTATTTGGAGAAAAGCAGGAAGGACACTGGAAAGTAATTTCATGTGCATGAATCCTTTTGGCTTCCGGCTCCCAGCAGTTAAAAAAAATGGCTTGTTTTTAGTGGCATGCTTCAACTAGGCTTACACTGACCTTTTAAAGAAAAGGTAATGGGCAACATAGGTATAGCTTCACAGATGTAATCAACACATCTACTACTCACTCCCCCGCCCACAGACAGGAGAAAGATTGCTTTCTCACAGCCGTGCACAAGTCCTTAGCTTACTCTTCACAGGGGTTCCTAAGTTTCCAGGCACTGAAATAGCAGTCTTACAACTTGGGTTGTTTTCTTTCGTTTTCTTTTCTTTCTTCTCTAGCATGGCATAGGTCCCATACAAAGTTTTAGTTACTTAAGCTTGCAGTTATTAAGAATTTATTCATTGCCAAAGGTCATCTTCAGTTTAGAACCTCTTCCCTGCTTTGTACACTCAACATTAAGTACTACATTAAAAATATATAATAATGGATTTGGAAAAGGGGAAAAGCCTGCTGGCTTTGAAATAAGGGAAAAAAATTAAAATATGAGAAGAACTAACAAGTACAGGCTTTCTACGTGACTTAGAGCACTTCTGTACTTTTCTGTTCTCCTTCACTGAGAAAGAAGGTGTAATGCCTCCTTTCTCTCTCCTCACTTGGACACCCTATCAAATTCCCATCTCTTCATATACTTGTAAGTGTATTACTTTGTATAATACAGCTTCGGTCTAAAGTTGGGAATTGCCAGATGTGAAAAAAATAACCAGAATCAAGGAACAACAACAAGAAAATCTTAGTAAAGCTGGGGGAAAGGAGGACCAAAAATGTCCCTTTCCCCCTTAAAAGAGAATATAAATGATAAAATAAGATCTTTTTAACTTATATTGCTTCAGGACACTGAAAATTCCTTCAAGACAGAAACGTGCAGTCAAGTTGCTTCCTGACTGGGATTCACACACTATCAAGGATTCTCCTAGGAGAAAAAAACAACACCTACCATTACATTGCAAACTAGGGCCAAGGAAGAAATTCTTGCAGAAAAGTAGCAAGTCTGTTTGACAACCGTTCGGGATTCCCAGAGTTTTTGGTATTTGGAACGTTCTTTGTCATAACGCTTAAAAGAACTGTAGCAAAAAAAAAAATATCTTCAGATGTACTCCTTTTCCATACAAAGTTTTGAAAGAACTTCTCTAGCTTCCAGCTTTATAATGCTGCACCTGCTCTGAGGAATAGGACACAGAATCTCATGTTCTGTAGTCTCAGAGTATCATCTGCTGCTGCTCTCTGAGGACACGACCCCTGCTGCTCACCCAGAGAACTCAGGAATAGTCTGTGTTCTTGTCAAGAAGTTAAAAGGAGCATCTGTTTCACTTTTTCTTGTCCAAACTTATTTTATAGGTAAAACCAACGGCAAACAGGACTGCCAGATTTTTGTAGAACTATCTTTTCTTTCCAAGCTGCAGAAGAAGCAAGGTGTAACAAGGAAGGAAAGGAGAACCTCAAAAATATTTAATGTACCATTCTAAAATATTTCTTCCTCTTGACTAAGGAAGTGGCTAACATTTATCATATTTCTAAGCTATTTCAAAAAAAAAAAAAAAATTTCTCCCACTGGTATTCAATGAAATAGAGATAATAATGCTTACCTTGGTTGCAAATAGAATAAAATTGATAAAATGTACCAAAAAATTATTAACAAAGAAACCTCCATATACTATCAGGCATAATAACTCCACCAAGCAGACAGTGCAGAAAAATTTCCTAAATAGTCCACTTGGACTGCGTGGAAGACACAAAAGAAGAGCGGTGCTGGCTTACAGAAACAAGAGAAACTTGCTTGAGATTTGATGCATCACACCCGAAAGCAAGTTCAAGCACTGAAGGCGATTTGTAAAATTAATACCATCAACTTGGAGATGTGAAAACATAAAGGAGAACAAGGTACTTTACGGTTTCACACAATTACAGGAATTCTACCACTACCCCCCCTCCCCCTCCTAAAACAAAACAAAACCAGAAAGAGAAAACAACACTCACACAACTGTCACAAGATTTCTAAAATTACAAAAACAATGTATATAGCAAAAAATAAAAATAAAAAAATATAAAAAAATCACAACCTACCTGTTTACATGAAAAAAATTCACAGCGCAAACACAGTGAAACACAAGACTGCAGTGTGTACTTCCAATGGATTAATACATTGTCTCCTGCTGCTGAGAGCTGGTCTTGATTCAGTTAAAGCCTAAGCATTCAGGCTTTCCTGCTGGGAAACAAACAAGTAAAGTTGGTTTCAAGTGTCTTCTTTTAATATACAGAAACAATTCTCTCAAGCTTGAAGGCATAAAAGAGAAATAATACGTTAAAGTTGCATGAAACCATACAAACTACATCAACTCAAAAAGCCACACTGAAATTTATTAGTTGACTAGAAAATTCATTGCAAAAATGTATTTACTTCATGGAGGAAGTCACCACTGTCACCACGGAGTGAGTCAAGCTGATCTGCAAGAATGTTTTACATAATGGGAAAATTTTTATTGGCCAGAGGTTCACAGTGTTCTTAAATTTCCAGAAACTGCAGATGTAAAGATACTTCTGTTAACCTGAACCAAAACCAAGAAAAGAAACTATCTATCTGAGATGCATGCTCCATTTCTCAATACAGATCTAATTTTACTAGCTACTGTACTTCAACCTATTCAGCAAAGGAAACATTCACACTCAGATGAAAAAGAGAGGACATACGAAGACTGAAAACAAAGGTAGATTTAATATCACCATCAAACAGCATTAAAACCCATTGGCTAGCATATCAAGGCCATATCGGAGTTGCAGTACTGAGAACTAAATGCACTTTAAGCTACCAATTTATTCTTGTAAAAAATGATTATTTGTGAAACAATCAGAATGGATTTACAAGAAGGCACGATACCATCTTAATTCTTCCATGTTCACTTTACTGGGAAATAAAAGCCAACAAGAGAGCCAACGATCACTACAGTCAGTCAGTAACAAACTGGAAGGTTTTCTTGCCTTCTTTTACCAACAAAAACATACTCCAGCACAACTACAGTGTAAAATCCACTTCACTCAGAGTAACTGCAATGAGAGAATCTTTCCTCCATTTTTCAGGGGTTGATAACAGCTTTAAATCAATCAGGCAGCTCAAAATAAAATCATAAGAGAATAAATTCAAAGTATTTCACAGTTCAAATATTCTTCTCCTTAGTCTGCTGAAAATGCAATAAATTTAAAAATTCAGATCATCTAGATTATTGCTTATAGCTTAGTTTCTGCTTTTATTTATTTTTTTCATAATACTAAGGACTAAGCCTTCTTTTTTAATCATACAACTTCTGGAAAGTTGCAAATTGAATAAATACTTTTGATTAATGTTGTGGATCTTCATTGCAGAAGTATTAGGATTTGAGTTCTAGAGTATTTTAGATTGCAAAAATCAAACATTAATTAAACCTAACTATATAGCAGCTCAAAAGCAGAAAGATCGCATTTGTTTTAATATTGAAATACAACTGGCACTTTGGGAAGAGTACAGGAATGCCATCCAGATGGAACTAAACTTGGCAAAGGATGTGAAAAATGAGGGATTCTACAGGTATATTGGTTAGAAAAGAACGACCACGGTGAACATAACCCCCTGTCATGGTTTTATGGTTTTTCATCAATATTCCACATCATAACATCATGCAGTGCACTGGAAGTTAAAGAGTGAATGCTGCAGTTCCATGGATTGTCAGTGTTTCTGGTCTCTCGGTTTCAGAAGAGAAGAATAAACTACAAACTCCCAGAAGACTTCATTTTTCCGTTTCCATTTTCCATTCAGAAGGAAAGATAAAATGGACTGGCAGTCACGAGACCTCTCTCTGCTCCCTGGCTGCTTCACCTACAACATTAGAGTAAAGACTTCAGCTTCAGAAACTCTCTCTTTTGCATTTTATTTGATTTATTAGCTTCAATTTCCAAACATATTGTATGATATTGTGTTACCTCACATTCCACTACTACATTTACTAAACCCAGTTTTTCCTTCAGCTCATTGCCGCTGTTTTCCTTCAACCAGGCCCATCTCCCTACCTTTTCCTTTCCCCCATCCCCTTCTTTTCCCAGGGCATGAAATGGTGGGTCCCTTCACCTCCATCGTGGACATAGGCTGAACTCAGAATACACCTCAATAAATGAGAAGGGAGAAATGGTAACCACAGACATGGTTACAGCTACTCAAAAAGTTATTTGCTTCAGTCTCTCACATTCCTTAACTTCTAGGTGGGAACTGGGGAAGCAAAAACCATCCCACTGTAAGCAAAGAGCTAGTAGAGAGTTTCCTGATGAGACTGAATGTCGCCCATGATATGCATCCCAGGTTGCCAGACCATTCTCCATCACATCTGAAAAATCACAGCTGTCAGTAAAGCCCCCGTGACTGCAAAAAGGAAGACATGGTTATGAAGGCTGGACTACTCAGTGGATAAAGAATCGGTTGGATGGTTGCAGCCAGAGGGTTAGTCAACAGCTCTATGTCCAGGTGGAGGCTAGTGATGAGTGGTGTCTTCAAGGATCTGCCTTGAGACCAGTGCTCTTCAACATCTTTATCAATGACCCAGAACAGTGGGATTGAGTACATGCTCAGCATGAGGATGTTTCTCACTCAGAAGGTGGAGACGCACTGGAACAGGTTGCCCAGAGAGGTTGTGGATGCCCCGTCCTCAGAAACATTCAGTACAAGGCTGGATGTGGCTTTGGGCAGCCTGGTCGTGGCAGGGGGGTTGAAAATAGATTATCTTTGAGGTCCTTTTCAAACCAGCCCATTCTATGTTTGCTCATGACACAAAGCTGAGTGGTATAGTTGACACAACAGAAGGAAGGGATGCCATCCAAAGGGACCAGCACAAGCATGAAAAGTGGGTCCATATAAACTTAATGAGGTTCAACAATACCAAGCTAAAGGTGTTACACTTCAGTCATGGCAATACCAGATATGTGTACAGACTGGGAGAACACATTGAGAACAACACTGAGGAGGACTTGAGAGTCCTGGAGAACAAAAAGCTCAACACAAGGCAGCAATGTGCACTTGCAGCCTGGAAGGCCAACAGTACCCTAGGTTTCATCAAAGGGCAGTGGCCAGCAAGGCAAGGGAGGTGACTGTCCCCCTCTTCTCTGACCTCAAGAGACTTCATCTGCATACTGCATCTAGTCCTGGGGCCCCTGGCACAAGACAGACATAGAACTGCTGGAGCAGATCCAGAGGAAGGTCATGAAGATGATCAGAGGGGCTGGAGCACCTCTCCTGTAAAGAAAGCCTGAGGGAGCTAGGCTTGTTCAGTTCAGAGAAGACTACATTGTGGCCTTCCAGTACTTGAGGAGAGCTTTTAAGATGGAGAGAGATCATTTTTCAACATGGGCATTTAGGGATAGGACAGAGAGGAATGGTTTTAAACTAGAAGAGGGAAGATTAGGTAAGGTATTATGAAGAAATTTTTTTACTCAGAGTAGTGAGGCACTGAAACAGTTTGCCCAGAGAAACTGTATGCCCCATCCCTGGAGGTGTTCAAGACCAGGCAGAGTGGGGCCCTAAGCAGTCTGATCTAGTGAGTGGCAATCCTGCCCACAGCACTGGGGCTGGAACTAGATGATCTTTAGGATCTCTTCCAACCCAAGCCGTTCATTCTATGAAATCAGAAAGCATATTTTTAACTGCTATCTGGGGATGAACCCACACATTTATCTGAAGGCTCAAGTTCTATGCTTGGAACATACAGCCCAAGACAAGTAATGTAGCTGCAATACCTAAGTAAAATACAGCATATCTGAGCTGTAGTGGACAAAGCAATGAACTGTCCCGAAGACCCAAAGTTGCCAGCAGCTTTTCCAGAAACCAGCACAGCTTTTTACATTCCCCAGGATAACTGAACACGCTCACCCTGCACCCAGTCTTCCTGTTGGTCTGAACAGCATGGTATTTTCACTGGCTTCATCAACTTCATCCATCAAGCGAATACCAGTCCTCCCCTTCAATCAACCAGCAGGCTGCATTCCCTGTATGCCTTATCAAAAAAAACACAGCCAGAACAATACTGGCTTTGTGGTCTGCCTTAGTTTTTCCACCTAACGGCAGCTGATGGTCTTCAAATTTTAAGTATAAGCACAGCTCTTCCTAGTGTGTTACGCAATCAGAAGTCATACTGGAGCAAGTTTAATCCGTTCTTTTGAAAGATGGTCCTAAAAAGATCAGAAACCTTTGAGCCACTGCCATAAGCAAGGGTCATGCCATGAAAGCACCTTTCCTTAACTCAGATAGGAATACAATGCTACAGAGGGTTCAGTAGGTCTTGTCAAATAACGTATTTCCACTTGCTTAAGGAAAGGGCCCTAGTACAGTAATACAAAACTGCACCATGACAGAAAAAAAAAAAAAAAGAAAAAAAAGAGAAAGCAGTACTAGCAAACCAGACAAGAGGCAAAGAACACACAAAAAAGAACTCCTTGCAGCAGCAGCAAACAGATGTATGCCAGCCCCTAGTGTAATCCTATAAAGAAAGGAAGAAAGGAGCAGATGAAGGCAAACAGAATATCACCACACAGCTGGAAGACTCCTTTGTTCCTGTAATTGAGACCTCTGTCCTACTGTACCCTGCTCGCAGGCAGATTAAGAAGCTGCCTCTTGGTTGATGACACCAAGCTGAGTGGTACAGGTGACACACTAGAGGGAAGGGATGCCATCCAGGACCTGGACAGGCTTAAGAGGTAGGTCCATGCCAACCTCACAAAATTCAATACGGTCAAGTGCAAAGTTCTGCACCTGGGTAGGGGCAATCCCAAGCACAAATACAGGCTGGGCAGAGAATGGCTTGAGAGCAGCCCTGAGAAGGATCTGGGGGTGCAGGTTGAAAGACTCAACATAAGGCAACGTGAGCTTGCAGCCTGAAAAACCAACCGTTTCCTGGGTTGTATCAAGAAAAGCGTGACCAGCAGGTAAAGGGAGGTGATTCTGCCCCTCTACTCTGCTCTCATGAGATCCTACCTGAAATACTTAGTCCAGTTCTGAGGCCCCCAACACAAGAAAGACATGGAGCAGTTAGAGCAGGTCCAGAGGAGGGCCATGAAGACAATTAGAGGGTTGGAGCACCTCCCCTTGCAGGGACAGGCCGAGAGAGTTGGAGGTTTTCAGCCTGAAGAAGAAAAGGCTCTGGGAGGACCTTATAGCAGCCTTCCAGCACCTGAAGGGGGCCTACAGGAAAGCTG